CTGAAATTCCAAACTGAAGTCTCTATCTAGAAAGTAATTTATGCCATAGTAAAATGTCTACTTGCACACCTTAGATAGTTTTTCCTATCCCTAAAAAATTACCTAGTCAGAATCAACCTCCACCCTCTATGGTACAGCAATTAGGTCTGCTCCAGTTAAAAAAGGGGGGGGGGCAAAAATGTCAATTTGAGAAAAAGTTAAGCTTTTCATTCTATTAGTTTAGTATTTAACATAACATAATTAATAACACACCAACAGCAATCAAGGCTCAACTACAACAGGACAGTGCACACAGCCCACACAGGGGTTCACCTGCAGCACCCAAGTCAGGTAACTGGAACATCTGTGCCACTGGGTTCTAAGAACACCTAATATACAAGGCCAGTATACCACCTGGAAGGCATAGGAGCTCTATCTAATATATAAAAGCAAACTTAGGGAAGCCTAAGCCAAGAATAGAAAGATAAAAAGAACAGGTCTCAAATGAAAGAACAGGAGAAATCTGTACAGAAAAAAAAAAATGAAATGGAGGCAAGCAAACTAGCAGAACAGAGTTTAAAACAATGGTTATAATGATGCTCAGGGAACTTACTGAGAACTTCAACAGCATGAAAAAGGACATAGAAACCATAAAAAAGAACCAGTCAGAAATGAGGGATACACTAACTAAAATGAAGAATAATTTACAGGGAATCAACAGTAGAGTAGATGAAGTCAAGAATCAAATCAGAGATTTGGAATATAAGAAAGCAAAAAAAAAAAAAAACCACCTCATCAGAGCAGCAAAAAGAGAAAAGAATCCAAAATATTAACACAGTGTAACAAGCCTCTGAGATAACCTTAAGCACTCAAACACTCACATCGTATGGGGTACCAGGAGAAAAGAGAGAAAAAAATTGAAAACCTATTATCAAAAATAATGATGGGCCCTGGCTGGTATAGCTCAGTGGACTGAGCACGGGCTGCAAACCAAAGGCTAGCGGGTTCAATTCCCAGTCAGGGCATATGCCTGAGTTACGGTCCAGCTCCCCAGTGGGGCCACATGAGAGGCAATCACATATTGATGTTTCTCTCTCTCTTTCTGCCCGCCTTCCCCTCTCTCTAATAAATAAATAAATAAATAAAATTCTTTTAAAAAAATGAAATTAAAATTCCTTCTAAAAATTTTAAAATAAAAAAATAATGATGAAAAACTTCCCTAACCTGGTGAAGGAAAAGTGAATACAAGTCCAGGAAGTGCAGAGTCCCAAACAAGATGAACCCAAAAATGCCCCAACCAAGACACATCATAATTAAAGAGCAAAAGGTTAAAGATAAAGATATAATCTTAAGAACAGCAAGAGCAAAACTGTTAGCTACCTACAAGGGAGCTCCTGTAAGACTGTTACTTGATTTCTCAACAAAACTTTGCAGGCCAGAATGGAATGGCAAGAAATATTCAAGGTGATAAAAAGCAAGGACTTACAACCAAAATTACTCTACCCAGCAAAGCTGGGTATCAGATGGGTGCAGGATTTATTGGGATGACCACTTGATGAGTTATGTAGTATCTGGTCACTAGGATATAGTATTGTATATCAACTGTGAAAAATAGAAAGGGATAAAATGGCAAAAAAAAGATAAATAAATAAATGTTTTTATTGAAAGACAAAAAAGAAACCTATAGAATGGGAAAAATATTTGCATATATCTAATAAAGGGTTAATATGCAAGATATAAGGAACTTATACGATTCAACAGCAAAATGACAAATAATCTGATTTAAAAAAACATGAATAGATATTTTTTAAAGAACACAAAAAATGGGCCTTAGGTATATGAAAACAAGTGCTCAATTTCACTACTCTTCAGGAAAATGCAAATCGAAACCACAGTGCACTATCACCACACACCTATTGGGATGGCTGTTATCAAAAATAAGAGATAACAAATGTAGGCGAGGTTTTGGAAAAAAGGAAACCCTTGAACATTGTTGGCAGAAATGTAAAATGGTACAGCTATTACAGAAAACAATATAGCAATTCCTGAGAAAATTAAAAAATAGAACTATAATATTATCCAGCAATCCTGTTTCTGGGTGTACATCAAAATGAAATAAAATCAATATGCCAAAAAGATATCTGTACTTCCATTTTCACTGCATCATTATTCACAATAACAAAGATATGAAAACCACCTAAGTATCTCTCGATGGATGAATGGACACAGAAAATGTTTATATACATATACAATGAAATATTATTCCACCATAAAAAAGAATGAAATATTTGCAACAACATGGATGAACTAGAAAGGCATTATACTAAGTGAAATAAACCAAACAGAGAAAGGCATATACCGTATGGTACCACTTACAAGTGGAATCTAAAACAAATAAACCAAAAAAGCTAATCTCATAGAAACAGAAAGTAAAATGGTGTTTGCCAGAGGCTGGGAAAATGGGTAGAGGTTGGTCAAAGAGTACAAACTTTCAGTTTTCAGATGAATAACATCTCAGGATCTGATGTACAGCATGGCAACTATAATTAATAATATGGAATTATATAGTTGAAACTTTCCTGGAGTATATATTGAGCATTTTCATGCCTTCCCCTCAAAAAGTTAACTATGTAAGGTACACAGATGTATTAATTAATTGAATTGTGTTAATCATTTCACAACTATAGGAGACTGTTCTGTGTGGCATGGGCACAGACAGGACCCATGCCCACAGATAGGTTCTCCTGTGGGGAATCAGGCCTGCATTGCAAACAGGCCTACTTTGAGACTTGCTTTTTGCTAAAACTCCCTCACCCTGAATTGAGGCAGCAAACATTTACTGCATATCTTTAAAGTAACTTCCTAAAATCTATGCTAAACCTTCCAAGGATGAGTGTAGCCAGTTCAACCACTTTTCTCTTTGCATTTGCAAATATCCTTCTTCTATTATGTGATTAGTGGCATCCTCTTTTTTTTCTGTAAAAGGTAACCACCTAAAGCAAACTTCTGCATAGTAAATGAGGACCATCATGTAATGTGCCTAGAAAAACAATAAAAGCTTGTCAGGGCAAGGGTCGGTGAGCTATCTTCTTGAGAGAGTGACTAAGACACTCCAAGGTGCTCTCCCCTTGAGAGAGTGGCCATGCCATCCCTTTTCCTGTGTGAATTTGTCTCATATCTAATCCACAATGCAGTGGACACTGCCCTGCTGGTGACTGCATCACACACATGCACACATATATATAAACTAAATTATCATGCTGTACACTTCGTACACTTCAAAAATATAGAGACCCAGAGCTGGCCCACAGCTGCTGGGGAAGATCCTTCCACAGGAGCTGGGGAAGATCCTTAAGGGTGTTGTGGTGGTGCTGCTGAGTGGCTTCCAAAAAAACCCTCTTCTGGGATCTCTGGGACAAGGCCCTAGAGCTGGGGGTCAAGTACTGGCCAGACTGGACTCCAGACAGTACCCACTTTATCTGTGCCTTTTCCAAGGCCCAGAAGCACAGCCAGGTCTTAGGTCTCAGAGGTCACATTGTATACAGAGTGGATGCTAGACTGTCACCACATGAGTGGCAGCTGCCCTCCCAAAGGTACCTCAGAACAACGCCAGACTCCAGCAGCAAGGATGGGGAGAAAGCGGCGGGAATGAAGTGCCAAATTTCCCCAGAAGTGTTGCCAGACCAAAACCAAGCCCCCTCAGACAGCCAGATCCAGCTTACTCCAGATACATCCAACTTCAGAAGAGACCAAACCAGCCTGACCAGGGTCCCAGGAAGATATCCACACTGAGGAGAAGTGGTCAAAAGAACAGGACAATGCAGCAGAAGATTCTGTAAACACTGAAGAATAGCCAAGAAGGGTGGCTGGGCAGAAAAAACAAAGGCAGCCCCCTTACCAGAGAATGGCAAGGACCCATATGTGGAATCCACAAAGGAGAACACAGACAGTGAGGGACCCCCAGAGTCTCCCAACCTCACAGATTTCACAGATTTCTCAGAACTCACAGATTTCACAGATTTCACAGATTTCACAGAACTCACAGATTTCTTCCTTTACAGGGAGTTCCCTGGGGACCAGCATAGGAAGCTCAGCTGCTATGTCACAGCCTTCAACTGGAGCTTGAGAACTATACGAGTAGCAGAGAAGTGGGACCCCAGCATTAAGGAATCTCTGATGGATAACCCCTCCCTGGTGTTCATCTGACCATGATGGATCTACACTTCAAACAAGAAGCAGAAATTAATTCCTCATCAGCTCAATCAGGTAGTGACTCAGGCCTGAAGTATGTGCTTGTGCACACACACACACATACACACACACACACACACACACACACATAGGTTTAATAAACCTGAGTTTAGCTTGGAAAAAATATATATCTGTGGGGGGATCCCAAGAAAACAATTCATTTATAAAAAAATAGTATATTTACATGTTTAAACTTCAGTCACCTTAAAAGTACTCCCCATCTGATGCAATATATGTATTGAGACCTTTCTTCCACTGCTCAAATGGAATACTATGCAGCAGAAAGAAAGAAGGAGCTTCTAACCTTTGTGACAGCATGGATGAATCTGGAGAGCATTATGCTAAGTGAAATAAACCAGGCAGTGAAAGACAAATACCAAATGATCTCACATATAAGTGGAACCTAATTCCCAAAACAAACAAGCAAACAAAATATAAAAAGACATTGAAATAAAGAGCAAATAGCAACCAGAGGGGAGGTGGGAGGAGATAATGGAGGGAAAAGGAGAAGGGTAGTCAAAGAACATATATAAAGGACATGTAGACAGAGCCGAACGGGGTAGGATTGAGAATAGGAGGTGGGGATGGGTGGGGCAGTGGGAGTGGTAGGAGGAAAATAGAGACAATTGTACTAGAACAACAATTTAAAAATAAAATAAAATAAATAACATAAAACAAAAATAAAATAAAAATAAAGGAAAAAACAGTTTTTGAACTCATCAATTCTAATTGTAGCACTCTGCATTTTTTGTTTTACCTCTTTCACATCAGCAAAACATTTTCCTTTGAGGACTTCTTTCATCTGGGGAAACAAAAAAAAAGCCACTCAGGGAAACATGGGGTAAATAGGAAGGGTGGGGCAAGGGCAGGTATGCTCATGAATCACCCATCATGAAATAGGCAAACACGTTCAAAGAGTCTTCAAAAAAATTCACTGAAGCCAAACACAGCTTCTCACAACACTAGCTGGTACACTGGTACAGATGGGTTCCTAGAACACTCACCTAGCACAGAAAGCCTGTAGTACAAGGGGCCTACCTTCCAGAAGTTTTGGGGGGGTCTTGCTAATATATACATGTGTGTGTACATATATGTGTGTGTGTGTATATACATATACAACTTTGTCAATTATTCCTCAATAAGTCAAGAAAAGAGGTTGGCGAGGACTTCCGCCAAGATGGAGGAGTAGGTGGAAACACCTTGCGTCCGCGCACAACCAAATCTAAAAAGAAAGTTTTAACAACAATAAACACAACCAAACCACACAGAAAATCGACAATATGGAGTCCAAAGACAACTAAATGCTCAGCTAAACCGGTGAGAGGAGCGAAGCCAGCAGCGGAGTAGGTTGGCAAAAAAGATCCCTGACCAGGTGGTGCGCAAGCAGCCGAAGGCGCAGATCCCAGGTGTGGTTTGGGCTGGCTACGGGCAGACATGGGGAAGAGGCGCAGCTGGCTGTCTGCAGTCGGTGGAGCATTTGTGTGCAGATAAAACAGTGAAGAGGTGAGCATTGAGACCGCACAGTGCAAGGCGGCGGGCTGGCACATTTCCACTCGGACAAACTGGCCTGGGCAGTGGGACGGACTGGCGAGCAGACAGGACTGCCATTGCTCCCTCTCTGACCCCACCCCCACATACAGTGTCACACACCAGCGACCTGAGTGGCCCCACCCTGGTAAACAACTAAGGCTCAGCTCCTCATACTTAACGGGCACAAACAGACCAAAAATGGCTCAAGAACAACTCAGAGCCCCAGACTGATAAAGCTAAGTGATGAAGAAATAGCCAAACTTTCAGATGCACAGTTCAAAACACTAGTGATCAGGATGCTCACAGAACTGGTTGATTATAGTCACAAAGTAGAGGAACATATGAAAGCTAAACCAATTGAAATGAATGGTAATACACAGGAAACCAACAGTAATGGAAAGGAAACTGGGACTCAAATCAAGGGAGTAGACCAGAAGGAAGGAAAAAATGACCAAACAGAAAAGAATGAAGAAACAAGAATTCAAAGAAATGAGGAGAGGCTTAGGAACCTCCAGGACGTCTTTAAATGTTCCAACATTTGAATTATAGGCATACCAGAAGGGGAAGAGGAACAGCCACAAGTGGAAACCCTATTTGAACAAATAATAAAGGAGAACTTCCCCAATCTGGCAAAGGAAATAGACTTCCAGGAAATCCAGGAAGCTCAGAGAGTCCCAAAGAAGTTGCACCCAAGAAGAAACAAACCAAGGCACATCATCATTACATTAGCCAAGATTAAATGAAGGAGAGAATACTAGAAGCAGCAAGAGCTAAGGGGACTGTCACCTACAAAGGAGTTCGCATCAGACTGTCAGTGGATTTCTCAAAAGAGACCTTACAGGCAAGAAGGGGCTGGAAAGAGGTATTACAAGTCATGAAAACCAAAGACCTGCAACCAAGATTGCTCTATCCAGCAAAGTTTTCATTTAGAATGGAAGAACAGATAAAGTGCTTCTCAGATAAGACCAAATTCAAGGAGTTCATCATCACCAAGCCCGTATTATGTGAAATGTTAAAGGGACTTATCTAAGAAAAAGAAGATAAAAAATATGAACAGTGAAAGGACAGCAAACTCACAGTTATTAACAACCACACCTAAAACAAAAGCAAATTAAGAGGATAGCTAGATCAGGAATGAACCATAGGAATGAAGATCACATGGAGGATTAGTAATAGGGGAGTGGGAGAAGAAGGGGGAGAAGGTACAGAAAATAAGTAGCACAGACAGTAGATAGAAAATAGATGGGGGGGAGGATAAGAATAGTAGGGGAAATACAGAATCTAAAGAACTTGAGAAACGTGTTCAAGAACTAAAGGGGGGAATGGTGGGGCAGGGGGAGGCAGGGTGGAGGGGAACGGAAGGGGGAATAGAACAAATGTAATGGCATAATTGATAAAAAATGTTTAAAACAAAAAGAAAAAGATAAAAGGTTGGTATTATATAAAACAACATCCCCAGATAAAATTATCATTTGGTATGAAGAAATTAAAATAATTCAATATTAAATTATATTTTTCATTTTCGATGGCATAAAAAGTTTCACAACATGTCTCACCTTTAAGTTTTACCATAAAAATTCTCACATAGGTCTTCTGGCCAAGAAAGAGGCATACACTGATACACTCTGCCTCCTCACACAACAAAAAGAAGGACACAACAAATTTCAAAACAAAAAATAATCAGAACTGCCAGAAGATTGAACTGTATGGAAGTCTGACAACCAAGGAGTTAAACAAGAAACATTCATCCAGACCAATATGAGGGGCAGAGACAGGCAGATGGGGCAGAGAGGACACACAGCAAGTTGGAGGCTGGAGGAACAGGTGGGTGAGCCAGAGGCTGGAGGTCCCAAATTTGTGTGCACATAAACAGGGACAAAAAACTGGGGAACAACACGGACTGCAACCCAGGGTTTCAGTACAGGGAAATAAATCCTCAAAACCTCTAGTGGTGAAAACCTGTGGGGGTTGCACAGTGGGAGAAACTCCCAGCCTCACAGAAGACTTCATTGGAAAGACCAACAGGGTCCTAGAATATACACAAACCCATGCACCTGTGAATCAGCACCTGAAGGGCCCAATTTGCTTCTTGGTGGCAGGGGAAGTGACTAAAAGCCAACTGAGAGCGGAGCAAGCAGAATTGTTCCCTCTATGACCCCTCCACTACACACAGTGCTACAATGCAGTGACATTCATTTCCCCAACCTGGAGAATACCTAAGGTTCCACATCTTACAGTGTAACAGGTGTGCTGAGACAAAGAAATATGGCCTAAATGAAAAAACAGATAAAAACTCAAGAAAAACAACAAAACAAACAAGCAAGCAGAATAAAAACAAAGACACTGAAGTAGAGAACAAGGGGGTAGTGACCAGAGAAGAGAGGGAAGGGAATTTAAGGGGGAAAAAGGGGAGGGATTTGGAGGAACAAGTATGAAAGACACAGGGATGAGGACTAGGGGAGGAGGAAATGGGAGGGAGGTGGGGAGCACTGGGTGGGGGGGTGGGGCTTGGATGGGAGAAATAGACAAAAAAACTGTACTTGAAAAATAACTAAATAAAATTTTAAAAAAGAAATGGGTATATTTAAATGGCATTTTTTTGTCCAATGGCTCTCAAACTTTTTAATTATCTTTGATAGTTTTACATCACCTTACTGCCTGAAAAACAAGAATATGAGCTCTTTTAATTTATTACCTTTTTCAGTGAAACACTCTTTCTTTAAAAGTTAAAGCTAAGGGTGGTAAAAATGGGAGGGAGGTGGGGATCACGAGAGGTTGGGCCAAGAAGGGAGTAAAAGGCAGAAAACTGTACTTGAAAAATAAATAAATAAATAAATAAATAAATATTAAGGAAAAAAACAACTAAGTGATGAAGAGATAGCCAAAGTGTCAGATGCAGAGTTCAAAACACTGGTAATCAAGATGCTCACAGAAATGGCTGAGTATGGTCACAAAATAGAGAAAAAAGTAAAGCCTTTGAAATTAAAACAAATAAAAATAGACAGGGAACCACCAGTGAAAGGAAGGAAACTGGTACTCAAATCAACAATTTGGAGCAGAAGGAAAAAATAAACATTCAACCAGAACAGAATGAAGAAACAAGCATTCAAAAAAATGAGGAGAGGCTTAGGAACCTCTGAGACAACTTTAAACATTCCAACTTCCAAATCATAGGGGTGCCAAAAAATAAGAGGAACAGCAAGAAATTGAAACTTATTTGAAAAAATAATGAAGGAGAATGCCCCAAATCTGGGAAAGGAAATAGACTTCCAGGAAGCTCAGAGAGTCCCAAAAGAGTTGGACCCTTGTCTGAGGTATCATTGACAAATATGTTTTGCCATACAGTTGGTTCCCCTTTCATTTCACTGGTGTTTTCTTTAGCCATGCAAAACCTTTTTATTTTAATAATGCAAAGCTTTTGATAAGCCCAATTTCTTTATTCTTTCCTCTATACCCCTTGCTGTAGGAGACATAGTGGTGAAAATATTGCTGCGTGGAATGTCTGAGATTTTCCTGCCTATGCTCTCACCATACAACTGTTATGGTGTCACAACTTATATTTAAGTCTTTTATTCATCTTGAGTTTATTTTTGTTTATGGTATAAGTTGGTGGTCTAGCTTCACTTTTTTTACATATAGCTCTCCTGATCTCCCAACACCATCTGTTGAAGAGGCTATTTTTACTGCATTTTATGCTCCTGCCCCCTTTGTCAAATATTAATTGACTATAGAAACTTGGCTTTATTTCTGGGCTCTCTGTTCTGTTCCATTGGTCAATGTGCCTGTTCTTATACCAGTTACCAGACTGTTTTGATTATAGTGGACTTGTAATATAGTTTGATATCAGGTACAGTGATCCCTCCTACTTTGTTCTTCTTTTTCAAATTGCTGCAGCTATTCGGAGTCATTTATGGTTCCATATAAATTTTTGAAATGTTTGTTCTGTATCTGTGAAATAAGTCATTGGTAATTTAATAGGGATTGCAATAAATCTATAAATTGCTTTGGGTAGTATGGACATTTTGATAATGTTAATTCTTCCAATCCATGAACATAGTATATGTTTCCATTTGTTTGTGTCTTCCTTAATTTCCATCTTCAGTGTTGTGTAATTTTCTGAGTGGTTTTTCAGCTCCTTGTGAAGGTTTATTCCCAGATACTCTATTTTTCTTGTTGTTATATCAAATGGGATTTTTTTCCTTATTTCTGATTCTGATATTTTGCTGGTGTACAAAAATGACTTTGATTTCTGAATATTGACTTTGTACCCTG